TTTAAAAAAATCTCAATTTTCAGCTCATTTTAGCTCATTTGGTTTCTGAGTCTTTAGGGTGCACTTGGTTCACCTTTTAAAGCCTTTCCCTGAACCCAGGAGGACAAAAAACTTGCTCCTTATTGTAAATAACAGCTTATGTGGAGGTGGGGAATCTCAGGCCCAGATGCGCCCCCCCCCAGCTTGCCTGGATCTGGCCCCCAAGGCTCAGGGCTCCCCCCAGCATTGGGGAGCCTGCACTGGTGCTCCAGACCCCCTGCTGACCCACCACGGGGCTGGAGCACAAAAAAATCTACTAGGCTGGGTCCCCCTGGGCTCTGGCATGTGAGGATAGTGCAAGGAGTGTCTTTCTGCTTCTCAGTTGGGGGCCACATTAGTGAGGTTTTTTTCTTCTTCTGTAAGTCAGCAGCCCCCTGATCCAAAAACGGTTCCCCACCTCTGGCTTAGATCCTCACCTTTAAAGGAAAATAAGTCTTGTGTTTTTATGGTGAGTCCCAGAGTGGACAATGGCTGCCTTCATGTGGCCCCAGTGTGAAATCACAGATTCTCTGTTAAGTGAGAAATATCATCAACTTGGTAACTGCACATCGATTAACAATGTCCTGGACTTCAGAGCAACAACTCAAGCCACCATAATGGCCCTCTGTAGGGCTAAGTAGCATGCCAGACAGGGTCTGGAAGAAGGATCCTCCAACTTAACATTAGGAGATTTTCCTGAGCAAAGTGTGACCATCTTTCAAACATGTTGAAGACATAACATTGACATCCCTATACTCCAAGAAACCCATGTCTCCAATGACCTATAAGCCAGCAGCTACCATATCTATAGCTACAACCTCATAACTAGCTATGATCATCTGAAATAGGGATGGGCCATATATATGAAGAACACCATAATGGATTTTGACATCTTCTACTCAGTTAAAGAGGAAGTCACCTACACCAGCACCATTAAAACAGGAGAGCTGCAAGGTACGAATATGTATGAAGCCCTAATTCCAAATGACTGAAACCAGCACTCCTAAGTGCACCAATCCCAGCCCTATATGTTGATGTCTTTAACAGCCGCCATACTATACAAGGCTATGAAATAATGAAGTCAATGGGGAAGACTTCATGGATTGGATGTTCATGGAAAATCTCTAACAGGACTTCAATCCCAAAAAGTGAGCAGCTTTCCACTCTGCTCACTGGCAATGCAATTATAACCCAGCTCTGAGGATTGTACTCAAAGAAGAAAGCAGGAGTATACTTCACGCATCCCACAGAATACTTCACAATTTCCTCAACACTCAACACAGTCAATTACCCACCTTAGCACTGAAATCCCCATGATTCTGTCAAAATGAATCCCATAGTGGAGCCTGGCCAAAGGCAACTGAAACTGCTATAGGGAAGCTGTCAAAAAAGTTGTGATCTGAATCAACTGCAACACCAGAATGTTATCACCAGTTTGTTGGCCTATTTACTACTAACGACAGGAAAAGAATTGGAAGAATATATTCCCTGCTGGACAAAAGAGACCCAGAATCTGCACTGGTAGTACAACCCGTCAGCAGACCACAGTCTATGAAGAACCTGCTAGAATATCTAGACTTAGCCAGATGCCGGCAGGGTGCATCAAAAGTTTGAGCTTCACACATTCTAGTTGCCATACTGGGCCTTATTATGTCTCAGAGCTGTTAATCAGATGGAATATCATACTTCAAAAGTTTTGCCCAATTCAATACTCTCCAAATTGGAGAGCACAAAAGGACCATTCAACAAAAATACCAAATAAGAGATTCATCATTAACTACATTGAACCATGACCTCAAACCCTCCACAAGATCCCATCAGCATCAGCACAAATTAAGTGAAAGAAGATTTAGTCAAAATGCAGAAAGGGAAGGTGGTCAGTGGAAATGGTATCCCTTCAACATTTCTCCATCACTGGGACCCAGGTAACTTCAATTGCTGGCAAAACTGTACACCAATAACATGGAAACTGGAAGCATCTCAAAAGCCTGATGGCAGGCAACTGTCATTCCCATACTCAAATCAGGCAAGCCAATCGACGATCCAGAAAGGTATAGGCCAATATCACTCCTGTGCACTACATACAAACTCCCGGAACATATGATCCTCCAGAATCCAACTGGAACGGAAACCTAAACACCATGAAGGACTATTTCCAGAAATGGAGGCTCAAGCCAAATCCTGAAATAGGAACATTAAGTGCACCCTGAAAGTGAGCCTCTGAGGCAACATTATGAGATATAACCACACGCTGACCCTATCTCAGAGGGATGGCATGCTAATCTTCCCCAACCATCTGAAGAAAGTAGCTGCCAAGAAGACAAGGGTTAACCTGATCCAGAAACTGGCAAGCACAAGCTGTGGAACATCAGCATCAGTGTTAGACATCAGTGATGGCCCTTGTATACTCCGTAGCCAAGTTCTATGCAATGGATTGGACCAGAAGTAACCACACTCAACTTGATGTCCAGTTGAATACTGCAATGCGGTGCATCACTGGAATCCTCACATCAACTTCAACACAGTGGCTACTGGTGCTGTTGCACCCTGTTCCCCATCTATTTTGCTGTGTTGCTGCAGCACTTCAGGAATATCAGTGGATTATGGAAAATAAATATCTGCCCACCCTTCAGGACCTTATCAATGACTCTCACCACTGCTTGAAGTGTTTAAGCCCTTTTGGACCCATGAGTTTAACCTTCAACAATTCAACTTCAACCCAGTGAAACTTGGAAAGTCAAATGGAGTACACAAGAAGTCACACACAAAAAAAAAAAAAACCCCAAACCCAACACCCCACCTTGCAAAAGACATGATGCAGAAGATCCCTGTCTTGAATCTCCCACAAAGCTCACGAGCAACCCTAAACTGCATCTGCATGAACTATGGCAGATGAGGGGATTTAGTGCACGAACAGAAAATTAAAGACTCTTCTGTCTTGCTGTGATCACCCAGAAAAGATCATGGAATATATAACAACGCAATACCGGATTCCCCAAAGCAAAGGAGACATTACAGCATATACTCTGCTATATATTATAGCAATATAGTCTGCTACTTTAGATGCAATAATCTGGTTTAACCATGTAGATGTTATAAAATATAAAATTATAAATTATAATTGTAATGTTGTTTTTCATATGGCAGATGTAAATGTAAAGAAGACCTTGAGTCCCACAATAGTTGGCAACACTTAGTCAATCAAGGAGCAAATAAGCTTATCTGCTTACATGTCAGTTTTCAGACACTGTAATAGGAACATTTTATAAACTAAACATTATGAAGTGGTGCCTCAAACTTTGCCCTGTGTTCTTCATGCAATTGACCTTTATTTCCTTGAAATGGTTTTCCAAATGACACAACCTGAAGGCTTTGCAAGACTACCAACAGGGTAGCCAACAGTTCCTTCATACATGGGATGTCCCTTGTTTTTTCATCTCTGTACAAAATCGGGAACACTGCAAAAGGCAGCAAGAAATGAATATAGGTGAGTACCTACTTCTTAATAACAACAATGATGATAAAAACAATATGAGGAGGAGGAGTGTGCAGTAGTGCTAAGAAAAGTCCTTTATTTTTGAAATACCGTATTGACAACCCCACCAATGGCATGCCAGCTATTTTCCAGGGAGCCCACCAGAGGTACTTCCTGTGAAGTACACTTAACACAAGTTTGCAGCTGCCTCCCGCCTTGCATTTTGGGGGGGGTTGTTCCTTTTCGAAAAAGAGGCAGATCTCCCAAGGAGTTGCTCTCTTCTGCTGTGAGCACGTGAAGCTTCTCCTAGGCCAAAGGGAGGAGCCTTTATACAGCAACCCCCTTCTACAGCGCAGGCAGCCACCAGGCCCTGGGGCGGAAAGTGGGGGTGGGGAGGGCCCGCTTCCAGCGGAGCCCCTCCTGCTTTCTTTGCTGCCTGTTAGAGCTCAGCCCCGTAGCTCCCCCACCCTCCCTACTTTAACTTGCGCTGCTTCCCTCTGTCACCAGCCAGCGCTAGTGCGTGTGAAAGGAGGAAGCGGAGAGGGGCGGGCGGAGAGCGGTAGTAGGGGAAGCAGAATCAAAACAAGCGGGACACGCCTTTTCCCGTGGCGCTGCTTCCCCCTGGCCAGGGGGCTGGGTGTGAGTGTGTGTGCGCGCAGCGGGGCTGGGCTGGCCGTGGGTGCCCGCCCCGG